AAAATTTCCATAAGCGTCGATCCTCACCAAGGAGAACAATGGCTGTCCCGGTTTATTATTATATATATATAGTATAAATATATAACTATCAACATATATATAATAACACCATAAAAATTTCCATAAGCGTCGATCCTCACCAAGGAGAACAATGGCTGTCCCGGTTTATTATTATATATATATAGTATAAATATATAACTATCAACATATATATAATAACACCATAATATATATATATATATATATAGGGAGAGGTTCTAATAAAAACCTAGAGAACTAAAAACCAATCCTAACCCTACATTCTATTTCATCCAATGGCCTAGATTTCGATGGCAGAATTGTAAATATAGACAAATTTAATACACTGCATTAATGTGAAAAGGGTAAAATTAGAACAATTCATTGCATTAATGGTGACTGATTACATTGGAACAATGATACAAATTTAATACACGTCCTTTAATACTCTCTCTTACATTAATAGTGCTACATTCTTTAATACTCTCTCTCTCTCACTCACTTCCCGATCTCTGTAAATCTCACATGAAGAACACAACAACACATTGAATCTGGATTCACTGAAGTGATCTTCAATCTAGATTCACTCCAACGAATTGAATCTGGATTCACTCCAATCAATTTGCTGCTCCACTGGATTTGTGAATCATTCTAACCATCCAAGCAGAATAAGAAACTTATGGTAAAAAACAAGCTATAAAATTTTATAACATGAAAAATTTTCACCTTTTACAGCAAAAAGTTATGATTTTTATGGTAAAAAACAAACACCTCACATAATTGAATCTGGATTCACTGCAGTGAATCGAGATTCACTGAAGTGAATCTAGATTCACTCATGCGTTTATTGAAGTAAAAACAAGCTGGATTCACTGCAGTGAATCGAGATTCACTGAAGTGAATCTAGATTCACTCATGCGTTTATTGAAGTAAAAACAAGCTGGATTCACTGCAGTGAATCGAGATTCACTATCGAGATTCACTGCAGTGAATCGCCAATTTTTGTTGTCCTAAATAATTGAATTCACTGCAGTGAATCCAGATTCAGTTATGTGAGGTGTTTGTTTTTACCATAAAAATTGTAACTTTTTGCTTAAAATCATCGCAAAAATCGGGGATTCACTGCAGTGAATCTCGATTCACTGCAGTGAATCTCGATTCACTGCAGTGAATCTGCAGTGAATCTCGATTCACTGCAGTGAATCTGCAGTGAATCTCGATTCACTGCAGTGAATTCAATTATTTAGGACAGCAACTAAAACAAACCCCACAACTAAAATTCTGAACTTTAACCAATTTTAACAAAAAAACTAACAGGATTGCAATTTCTAAAATATTTTAATAGAAACCCTAAAAAAGATTGCAAATTTTGAAAGATAATCCAACAAAACAAACAACCAAGATCGAGTATAAGAGAAACCCCAAGCTAAAACAAATCCTAGAACCAAGATCGCAACTTCAACAATTACCCTAAAAAGAAACCAAAATCAAATTGAAATTAAAGAAAAACGTGACGAACCGAGGGGGTGCTCGAGCTTGAAGGAACTCTTGGCCATGGATCCCCTCTTTCTATCATCCCCAATACATGACGAGAACAAAACCATGATCAGATCAAAAGAAAATAACACCTACCAAGAATCAAATCAAACTTAGAATATAACCTACCAAGAAAATATAACACCTACCAAGAAAATAACACCTACCAAGAGAGAGGGGGCTGGTTCAAGCTTTTGGGAAATGGAGGAGAGAGAGAGAGGAGACTCATCATAGTACTCTTGCTATTTTTTTTCATATTTTGTAGTGGGGATGTTAGTTTCCGGTGTTGAGATTAACCGTTGCATGAGCCAATACTGTGCTGCGCAATAACAAGAAATTCGATTTACTAAAAACAAAATTCACAAGGACTAACGTGGAGTTATCGACCTACAGGAAGTAGGAATGCAATAACCAAGTTGTTGAGATCTGAACGTGCAAAGTATCAAAAATATGATACACTCACTCTGATTGGGTTCTACCGTCTGGTGTGGGCCACGGAGAAGGAGTTGGTGACGATATGGGTGCCTTCCTTCATAATAATCAGTAGCTTACTAGTCATAAACAATAGTCCCTAATGTTTGATCTGATCAAATGATAGTCAAAATCATTTGAAGCTAGTTGCGGTCTCTTTGGACTCCGATAATATTTTCCTATTAATAGTACAACCACCCTTCTAACCATAATAGGCACACATTAAGTTAATTATAGTTGTAGTATTTGTTTTATAAAGAAGCATTTTAATACTCTTTTTTGAATAAATATGGTACATATAATGCATGTTAGACTAAAGAAAAAAAACTAGACCGACTAAATCCTTTTTTTTTAAGAATATAGGATTGAGTGTGAAGCTCTTGTCGTGTTGTTGCTTTCTTTCTTTTCGTTAAATCGATTGACATGACATGAGATTTTGATGATTGCATATAATTATGGAATAGATTGCAAACCTATAAAGCAAGAAAACTTGTCATGAGGATGAGGGTTGCCTTGTGATTCGTGAGTCACACTATTGTAACGATCCGATCCAATCGAAAAATAGACAAGAACAAATTCATGTATTAGCTCCTTCCCAAATTGACATTTTGGTTATTGATCAAATATCAATTGAATTACTTTCGCTTCCTCCGTGCAATGACAAATATAAATCTTATCGGGACATCCAGCATGAAGAGACGTATGAATTATAAATAACGCACCTGAAAATCTCCAAACTCCTCCCGTATCTAGATTTTGAACATATTATCGAGGGTAGATAGTGAGAGAAAATTTGTTAGGGGCTGTTTGGTTGGCATTTTTTGTCCTTGTAAAGCTGTCAAAACTGACAAAAGCTGTCACTTTTGACAGCTTTACTTGCAAAAACGTTCATTTTTGAGCGTTTTTGCAAGTAAAGCTGTCAAAACTGACAGCTTTTGTCAGTTTTAACAGCTTTACAAGGGCAAAAAATATCAACCAAACAGCCCCTTACTCAAAAGAACAAGCAAGAGTAGCTCATAATTAATACGTCCCTTTCCCTTGATGTATATGAATGAATGTGAAGGAGTAGCTTGTTGAGCAACTAGCGCATGAGTGTGCACGGTGCTCGATGCTGATACTGAGGATCTTCAGTGAACGCGTGCCCACGTGGCATGCTGGCCCCCCATGATTGGGCCTCGGCCTCAGCCCAATACTCACATGCTGTGCTAATCCCAAGGCTCGATGATCCAACAGGGCTCGTATAATCACAAGGCCCATTATTGTCGCTTGTGTACGAATCACATGCGCCCACGTGGCGCATGGGGAGTGGTGCAGTAAGAGAGGTTGACTGGTCAATGTTGGAACCGTTTGAGTCAGGTGGTGCGTCAGCCATGCAGCTGCGCTGGTTTACTTCGGGAGCACGTGAAGCGGCCGCTAAATGACGTCAGATGCACGTGTACGCTGGCTCCTCGGATACAATTCGAAAGGGGCCGGGCCAGGAACAGAGCTGGATCGGGTCACGCTCTCCATCACTGGACCGTTAGAATAGGCCCATTAATGTGGTTTGGCCCACTGGATTTGAAATTCACACATACTTCCGACGAAATCTAGTGGATACTAGTAACCTACCTAAAGACTTGACTATGAAACATAATCGCAATTATTATTGGATATAGCCATA